TTCATTAGTTAGCTAGGCCACGTATTTTGTTTTACCCACCATCATGCCCCAAGTTGAATGAAAAATGCAACCTGGCTAACTAATATTGCTGTAAAATTATTATCAATGCTATAAGTGTAGTTGCCAGTTTGGCCACCAATTTTGATTTCATTACTTTAAGTCACACGCTCAATCCTTTTTGGCCACACCTTTTTTTTTCACACCTAAGGTGTTTTTTATTAGATTGTATTAACCATAATTTAATGGAACTGCTACTGAATGCAAGAAATTTGTCACCAGGTTCAAGTCCTTTACCACGTTATTTCATAGTGGAAATCTTGCATCAAAAAATATAATAATATACTTATACGTATAAGGTGAATTCACTATGTGTGTCTTCATGAAATCTGTCGAGGTTTTAGTAAACATTACAACTTTGTTTTACATAAAAAATCATGCTTTTTAATAAATCATTTTTACTGAAGATTTGTTTGTGAATTTCTCAAGCTTTTACTGATTTAGTCGAGGTGAAAGGTGATTTTAGTTCTAAGAAGAAAAATAATTATTTTCGTCTTACAGATTCATATTTCAAAAGTTTTTGTCACATCTGTTTCCTTTCCGAAATTATGATACTTTACCTTTCCACACAGAATACCTTGTTCCCTCGTGCTCCTGCCTATTAGACAGGCATGCCACTACCTTAGCTAATTCTCACCTAAAAATCACATGTAATGTGAACTGCACTAGTGCTTGATTACATCATCATGTGACAATAGCCCTCTACCAATAGGAGGGTGACACAACATACTTGTGTAGTAACTCCACCTAAGCACTTAAATAACTTCATTATTTTTCTTGGCATTGTCTAGAATGGGTGTTTTTATATTCATTAATCTCTTACATGAGATTTGCAATAGTTTACAAAACTTAAATTTCAATAAGGTTGCACTGGTTTCTTCTGTTGCTAAAGAAAAAGAAAACAATTTCCTGCTTGCTTATTATGAATTCTCAAGTGACAGTAACTTTTGTCTCATTCTGTGATAGTTACAATGTTTGTAACATGGGATCTGTGTCTATTGTGGTTACTGGAGGCTTATTGTTCTTTGAGGACATGACAGTCATTATTCAACATATTGTGGGTTTCTTCATGCACACTGGGTTTCCTCCTCCTAGCCATTTGTCCGACATCCCCCCACCCCAGTTTTAACGTGATTGAGATGATGATTTGGCTATTTCTCCCACCAGGGTTTCTTCCAGGCACAGCCTTGTCTGTGGGGGAAAATCGTCACCCTTCTAATCTCTTTCTTGATATGATTTCACAGGTATATTATTTTCTACATCCCATTTATCTTCGATTCCCACTTGTGCTTTACTACATGAAGCCCATACTGAAGACTACTTTATCTTAATTCTTTCACCTGACATTAGGATTCATGCAGACTTGTTTCTCAAACAACTGCACACCTATACTATCATACCTTGTCTTCCTCATCTGCTTGACTCTTTTGTCCTCGCTCACAAATGTTCTTCATTCCCATTCTTTGGAATCTCTTTCTACCCACTTGGTAAGTGAACCTCTTAACTTTTATTTCCCTTTCTAGTATCCAATATTTGTGCCTTCTGCATTACCTCTTGTCATTTTAACTTATGTCTGAGGCAATTCATTATGCTCTGTGAGAGAGTTTCTGGAGAGGTTTGTTCTCTTATTTTCACCACATTGGCCCATACTACTACTTTACTCTATCCTTCCTTACTTAGTTCCTATGCTGTTGGAAAACGTGATGCTCTTTTAGCTAGTGTACACCTCCCTCCACTTTTTTCCTTGTTCTTTGTTGAGCTCTATATATTTGCCCAGAAGTCTACAAGGGTGTTCCTGACCCACTGGAGATTCAGACTGAGGTGGCCTGTTATCAGTCCATATTGTCTGCTATGGTTTTGTCAACCTCACAATTAGTTTTCTTTTCCTAGGCCTGCTGAATTCACATCTTCCCATCCCAGCTTCCTGGCCTTCTTCTACTTCCTGTTATTCCATTTCCCAATGTCAGGGTTGTCATTTCTTTCATTGGTGACTATTTCACGTCTGGTCTTGTGGGGGGTCTATCTGTCTCTCATTGTCAGACTTTAGTCTGTCTGGTTTGTGGGGGTCTATTTGTCTCTCATTGTCAGACTTTAGTCTGTCTGGTCTTGTGGGGGTCTATCTGTCTCTCATTGTCAGACTTTAGTCTGTCTGGTTTTGTGGGGGTCTATCTGTCTCTCATTGTCAGACTTTAGTCTGTCTGGTTTTGTGGGGGTCTATCTGTCTCTCATTGTCAGACTTTAGTCTCCATTTTCATGGCTTATTTAGATTCTCACGTACAGCTCATCTCTCCATTCTCTTCACCTCCTCCCCTATACTGTTTCCATTCCTCTTTATCTTCAATGTTTCAAGGATGTGCTGTCAGACCAGGGTGGATTACGAGTCAAACATGCTAAGTTTTTCTACATGGCCTATTATGATCACAGCTAAAGACTAAGGTAAACAAAACTGAACTTCAAGATATATTTTACTTGGGGAGACAATGGGAAAATAATACCCACAGATTTGGAAGACTCTTCTACAAATTCATGAACAATATTAGATATTAAATAGGGTTTTTCAGAGTCATTGTATGTAATAGAAGCAAGGACTTGCATTATGGCTTTTACCCCATTTTTAAGGCTTACATTGTATCTGAATGGGTGCTCCATCTTGTGTCTGGTAACTTCTTTATTGTCAGGAACCATAGTTTTTTCAAGCTTCTGCACAAAGTCTATGAATAGCAAGCTTCAGTACAGTAGTCCACAGGACAATGTCTAACCAAACTGAGCGAATGAGTACAACATGGAACAGGATCTGCTAGGGTTTTATCTCTTTAATCAAGGCTTGCATACCCTTCCTCCCCACAAAGAGTCAAGTTTAGAGACTGGGATTGAGTCAGTTTCAAAAATGTGTTAATATATATATACAGTATCAGGATAGAGGGTGCATCGACGTACGTGGAGAGGGTCACGATATAAATATCACCAAGAACAATGAGGGTGCATCGACGTAAGTGGAGAGGGTCACGAGATAAATATCACCAAGAACAATGAGGGTGCATTGACGTACGTGTAGAGTGTCACGAGATAAATATCACCAAGAACAATGAGGGTGCATCGACGTACGTGGAGAGGGTCACGAGATAAATATCACCAAGAACAACGAGGGTGCATTGACGTACGTGGAGAGGGTCACAAGATAAATATCACCAAGAACAATGAGGGTGCTTCGACATACGTGTAGAGTGTCATGAGATAAATATCACCAAGAACAATGAGGGTGCATCGACATACGTGTAGAGTGTCATGAGATAAATATCACCAAGAACAATGAGGGGTGCATTGACATACGTGTAGAGTGTCACGAGATAAATATCACCAAGAACAATGAGGGGTGCATCGATGTACATGGAGAGTATCACAAGATAAATATCACCAAGAACAATGAGGGTGCATCGACATACGTGTAGAGTGTCACGAGATAAATATCACCAAGAACAATGAGGGGTGCATCGACATACGTGGAGAGTATCACAAGATAAATATCACCAAGAACAATGAGGGTGCATCGACGTACGTGTAGAGTGTCACGAGATAAATATCACCAAGAACAATGAGGGTGCATCGACATACGTGTAGAGTGTAACGAGATAAATATCACCAAGAGCAATGAGGGTGCATCGACATACGTGGAGAGTGTCACGAGATAAATATCACCAAGAACAATGAGGGTGCATTGATGTACGTGTAGAGTGTCACGAGATAAATATCACCAAGGACAATGAGGGTGCATTGATGTACGTGGAGAGTGTAACGAGATAAATAAACTTTTCACCATTAGTGCAGGTATTAGCTATCTGTTCTGTAGAGAACATTTTAACTTTTCTTGGCTCCAGAATGAACAAATTGAAGCCTTTGCAAAACTTCTTGTACCTTAAATTACTTCAATTAGGAGACCTTCTTGTAGTCCATCTATAAACTCATTTCATAGAAAACGTTTTTTTTTGTTTTTTTGTTTTGCAACTGCATTTCACAAACTACAGAATCACTCCTTAATTTTTAACTGCCACATTTATACAAAAAAAGCCCTCCCACAACAAGATTTATTTTTGGATTTAAGATAAAAATCAAAAGACACTTCCTTTGGGTTGCATTATTTATTTGAAATTTGAAACTCTTAAATCTTAGGAAGTTTTGAAGGGGAATAAAAATCTCCTGACTCGTGTTTTGTAGCACAGTTTTTAAACAAAGGTTATATAAAGTGCCACATATATGTGTGTTCATGGCACTGCTTTAGAAGGGAACATATGTGTGATTACCATAGTGAAAGAGTTAGAAAAATAAGTGCTTGACTAAGAAAAGTATGTATACTTGAGGAAGTGTGGGAAAATGTTTTGTAGTCACTTACAATTACACAGGTAAACATCATGTGCTGATCATTAGACTTTATGTAGAAATCAGAGTTGGCCTTTTTTACCTTGTATATTTTATAAATAATTTTAAGGGCTTTAGTATTTTAATTTCAGTATTTAATAATTTACTCATTAATTGTGTGAAATTTGTTTGTTTCAGAATGTTTACCTATTTCAAACAAAGTTGTGAAATGGCTATGATGGCTACAAGACTTTATTGTATTCAAAGATCCCTCATTAACCATAGTATAAAGCATTATCCCAAAGTGGTACATGAATGGTTTCAGATGAAAGTCAAGGGTAACTGCTCTACATATCAGATGTTAAAACATCAACGGTGGTACAACAAACAACAGTTTAGGTTTCTTTCTCAAACATCACAGTACAAGTTCTGCATACATTGTTTTCCAGCTACACCTTCAGGTTTCAAACGTTTATTTCATGTTGGAACTTGCGCCTTTGTGAAAACATTTCAAGAAAGAGAAAATGAATATGCTCATGAGATAATGGAGAACCTAGGTTATAATGGTGTTAGAAAACATCCAGAGGGTCCACTGATGTATAATAGCAACGAACAGATGCTTAGTAGAAAACACACTCGCGGTGATATAAGCTTTGATGAAAATGTAATAAGCATTTTAAACATGTTCAAAAAAATTTCAAGTTCTTCAGATGATACTGAAAAAGATATAGAAAGTGAAAAGTATTGTAACTTGCTAAAGTCACTTGCACATTCCCTACCAGAGATGGATAACTCTCAAATAATAGAAGTTTTGAATTATCTATGTTTGTGGCCACCTACTGCTGCAACAAATACTCAGCAGTTTAAGCTGTTATGGAACAGTTTAGATAGAGAATGTGTACATCGGCTGGAATCTTGGACATTAGATGAACAGTTGCTAGTTGCAGATTATTGGTTCCACTTGCGTCTTAGTCGTATCACTGTTTATAATTCAGCAGTAATAGGTGCGTTGGGATGTCAACTATCTTCACTTTCTTCTCAGCAGCTGGTACAGTTGCTGTTCCTGATGAATTTGCAGAGAAAAGTGAATAAACCTTTAATGCGAAAAATAGAAAACTATGTTATAAATTTGGTCGACAAATTGAATATTGAAGAGATTGGGATCATTTGTTTGGGATATTTCAAAACTCAAGTGCCCATAAAGAACCCAGATCTTTTACATCAAATAATTAAACATACCATAAATAACTTGTCTACAGTAAATACTCTTACATTAGCTGCCATTGTTAAACAGCTTCGGAAAAGCTGCTCTGTTCCAAACAGACAGCTGTTCAAAACATTTCTTTCAGAGTGTAAAAAGTATATATACTGTTGGGAGCCCACTGCTGGAATTCACGTTGGCCTCTTAGGCACCCCTATACATGTTTATGATGCTGGACTTATTGATACAGTTGTGAGACATACCTTTAATAATCTTGAAAATGTTCGCCTGAAAGAACTGTCCAAGCTTCTTTTCTCTTGTGCACTTTTTAATCATACTCTTCATATGAAAAATAGTTTTTTCGATGCAATAGTTGCAGAATTATGCAATACTAGAAGAGAAGAAGAAATATCTTTATACCCAAATTGTCTTATTTCGAGTCTTCTGTTCTTAGCTTATCAAGATGTTTACCCTGAAAATCTTCTCAGAAGAGCTCTGGACCCAAGTTTTCAGACATTACTACAAGGTAAGATAATTTATAATAAAATTCCATAAGTTTAATTGATAAAAATTTTTGCAGCCCATTGAACATATGATTACCATTGTCATTTCATTAAAATAAAAATTAAAGAAAATGAATAACAATGAAACTAATCCTAAGTGTCTTAACCAATAAAATCTGCTGAAAGCCTTTCACCCAAATATATTATCCAAAAAATTACAATACATTATCTTATCTCCACTTACAAAATATTTATCTCGATCAGTACTGCCCTCTATTGGCACAAATTTTCAATGCTCATTACTAGCCTTCCACTTCCTGTTTATGCATATCCACGTGTAAGTGATTATGCAGCAGCTTTCCACCAATAGGAGTGCGACACAACCCCTAATGTAGCCAGCGCCCTCTCCACAATAGCACTCATTAGTCACTTTTCGGTTGGCAGTGGTACTGAACAGATGTGCTTGTTTTTACTCGCAAATTTTTTGATGTTTTCTTTATACTACAAACATGAGGAATAATCTGTCATGCCTGCTCCTGAAGTGGATGAGAATTGGGACAGTCTATTTCCCTCTCAGTCACGAATAATATTGGGGGATATATCCAGACCTCCTTAACCCTTTGTGGAATTAAATAATCATACTTGTGCTGTCTTATCTTTATCTCCTATGATTCTCAACCTGCCCGCCTTGGTGATGAATCTATGGGCCAATATTTAGTGTTCCCTCCTTCACTTGACATTGAGGTTCATGGCTAACATTTTGGTCGGATTAGTATGCCTTGTCTGCCTCATACATCTGAAGATTCTTGCTTATGCATTTCATAGATCTTCCTTCCCTAATCTTGATTCCAAATGTTTGGAATCTTGAAGGACATTGTGGGGTTTGAACCCTAATGCATCAGTGAATTTGTCACAACCTTAATTTTCCTGTATCAGACTGATGTTGCCCACAATTTTACATGCATTATCAACTCTACACTTGCTGGCTTAGACAATTTACTTGTCTCCTGAAGGGTTTTCAGATGATATTTGCTGTCTTCTGTTTACTACAATGGCACGTCTTTCGTATTTAGCCCTGCCTCTTCAGATGTAGATGATATGCCATTGGGACCATCCTGGTCAGGATGCCATTCTTTCTCAAGTACATTTACCTGCTCCTTCCCAGCACGACTTGAGCATGGCACCTTTTTTACATGAAAATGTGTTTGGAGGTTTTCCCAATTCATTGGAGGCCTGAGTTTAGTATGCTCGTCTGCATAATTCATTATCCTCATAGCCTTTCTGTTTATCCCAACCTCCTCCTACTGTTTCTGTGTCTTCATCCAACCCTTTGCCAGTTCTGGCTTCTTGTTCTTCATCCATTCGCAGTAGGTTTGTTACTCAAAGGGTCATCAGAGGATTACAGTGTCTATGACTTGGCCACAGAGTCAGGCCAGGCTTTTCCATTTCCACCATATGTGGACACCATTTACAATGTATCCATGGGTACTACAGGTCCTTTCAGATGGTCTGAGCATTCACTTCCATTCCTCTCCCCAGTTGTCTCCAAATGTTACCTTTCCCCACCAAGGGATCCTGTTTATTGGCAGCATCTACAGGAGGTGGTCAGGACTTACTTCAGAAAGAGGCCATAGAACTTGGGGAACCTTCTCAGCTGGGGTTTTGCTTCCATCTGTTTGTCCTACCCATAAAGATGGGAAATTGGGGACCGGTTATAGATTTATCATTCCTGAACCATTTTCTGGTTGTTCTCAATTTTACAATGGAGTCTTACTTAACCATTTGGTGGGTTTTCACTCCCGGGTTTACGATCACGATCATTCTTAGCACAGTAGCCGTTCAGTAAGGTTGTGCATAGCTCCCCATACCAGAGTTTATTCAGTGCTTTACTTTGTTGAAACAGTCCTTCTCAGGACTAGATAGTCATTCTTCAATCAACTAGTATCAGGCGTTTGTTGGATCCACTACACACCTAGACCACTCCACTCTCAGCCTCTAGTTAGACTGGACTCTACCCAATAATCTACACCAGCAGCCCACCACCAATCCCAACTTCAATAAAGTTAACTGGACCATTTTCAACCAACACTTGGACAACATCTTACCCGACCCATTAACTTTTGCTAATACCAAAGAAGACATTGAGCAATATTACCACAGTATATCACAAGCCATATCCAAGACCATAGACAAGTTAGTACCCAAATATCACACAAATACTACGCCCAACCACTGGTCACTAACTCCCGAAATCCACAAGCTCATTTTATCCCGACGCAAGCTTCGCAAAGACTTCATCAACTCCAGAAACCCCACTCTAAAGACACAAATCAACTCAGTCAAAAATGATATAGAAAAACTAATTAAGGCCCAACAACGCGTAAACTGGAATAACTTTTGCACCAAACTGGACAGCCTCAAACTTGACCCGTCCACCTTCTGGAAAACTTTCAAAAGCATATGCCGGGAAAACAATGACACAAACAACATATCCTTCGAAAACATCACAGCCTCCACCGACGAACAGAAAGCAGAACTTTTCGCTAGCTACTTCAGAAAAACTTTT